GCCTGACCCCATCAGTGCCGACCCAACTACACCACCACGCGCATGCCTCGCGGCGGATATGCGCAGCAGCAAGAAGGTTTCGGTCATCCCTTGAGGGTGAGTCTAGCCCTGCTCGCCAGAAAGACCCCCCCCTTCACTACAACCCATGTCTAAGCAAAAGCTTGTCGAGGAGCGAGGGGAAGAAGGGAGAAGTCGAATAGCGACCATATTTCGTTGTGACACTAGGGGTCACTAAACCGGGGCCCCCACTGTATAGAGCTAACGTGAGAAACAACAACAACAACAACAACAACAACAACGCACGTAGTCTACTGCCCCAGGGGTCACACGACCGCCGGTCCCGCCGAAACGAAATTCTTACGCCCGAAACACCCATCGTCAATGAACGGCACATGGAATGGAGCAGTGGGAGAGACAAGGTGGCGTGTTATCTACAAACATCTGGCTGCCGCCTAGTTTGTCTCACCGCCCGCTTGCCTGGATATCTATCTACTGCTGTGAATGTCGCGACACATGTCGCAACACGTCGTGCGCTCAACGAAACATTCTTTTCTGCCGCGTGTTGTGTTGCCGCTCGTGTGTTCTGGGAAATTCTTCTTGTCGACTGCACACTGCATATCGCACGTTTGTACGTATTCATACAAGGCTTTTGCTGTTTCTTCCGTTGCTATCATCGCTGCCGTCATGCCGCCACTTATTGCACTCGGCACGGGATGTCGTCGCTCATGTGTCTCACCGATGTTTGCGGTTAGACCTAAACATGCATCCCGCCGGCTCACGGCCCGTTCACCCTCCGTTCCGTTCAGTAGGGGACGGGTGAACTCTAAACAGTGTATGCCTCATGTGCACTCACTCTGCCGTGTCCATCGTGCCGTCCCGAAGGCAACAGTTACGTCTTCTTCCTTCCGCTGTCTGCCCCCAGCTCTCGCTGTTGGCTTTCCACGGAGGGCGCCAGAGAGGTGTGTGAACAGTTGACGTTTTGAACAGGTGGAGATGTATTTGCACGTGCAGAAAGGCATCACGTTGAAACACGTCGCACGCGGCGCAAAAAAATGTTCCTCATGGGAGATGTCGGAGATCGCGTAATCGCGCAATCCGCGCATCAGCGTGGGTGCTGGCGACAACACGGGGGTGCTGCGAGGAGAGCAACAGGCCGGAGGTATACACCAAGATATAAAATGTGAGAGGAGTCCGAGGGTGCGTTCTTAAGTCTCATGTCACAAGCTCATTGCCTACTGAATTGCGTAGGTGCTGCTGTTAGTTTTTCATCCAGCCGCCCGACGTGGCCGTTGGTCCTTTTCAGCACACGGGTCTGTGTGTCTGTTCTCTCGTCTTGCCCTCGCTGGTCTCTGGCTTCTGCAACTAGAAGCCATCGTTGCTCCCGGCTGGCCGTTCCTGCGTGGATAGGATTGCCATGAGAGGTAGTACAGGCAGCAGGCAGCAGACAGCAGCCGCATCGAGAGCTCGTCACAAAAAAAGAATGAGCCAAAAAAGTGCGCGAAATGCCATACGGTTGCGTGAGATATCACCCCCCTGTTGAACCGATTTTCAGAGGTCGAATGCTCCGCGACAACGAGGATACCAAAGCCAAATGGCACAGTTCGAAACGTTCTCGACAAAGACGGTGCTAACGCCGCCATTTTCGGCACCGTCGGTGTCTGTACTGTGGAGTAACCGGGCTTGAAAAATTGGTCCAGGGGGTGTGAAATCTTCTGCAACCTACGGTACGCTGAAAGAGGGATGTTTGGATACTGACCTACCTGGCTGTTGTGGAGTTAGGAAGGATGGTGGATTGCTCCTGACACTTTTTCGGTTCTGGAAAGTACTATCTCCAACGGCCTTGTTGTTTTCTGTGTTCCGAAAAGTAACTGTTGGCCATGAGCCAAAGCACGGAACTGCTTTGCTGCATGTATCATACGCCGCACCATGGAACTGGAACACACGAGATACGTACAAGTTCCATCGGTGGTGGAGGCGACATCAGACAGGGTGCAGCGGTGGTATCAACTTGCATGGCAGCCCTCATTCCTTCGCCTGGGTGCGGCTGTGTGAGAGCGCAAGAAACGACCAACCATGCTATCGTTAGTCTTGATCACACTGCTGTCGGTAACTGCTGTCTTTTTTTTTTGGCCAGGCCGGCGGGGCTTTCGTTGTTGCACACCTGCATAGCGTACCAGAGGCACGTGTTGTTGAGATTTCGCTTCGGGGGAGGAACTGCTGAACCTAGAAACGAGGGTATGCGCCGCAGAGAAACTCCTCGATGGGAGATCCAGTCGGAGCATATATCTAGAGCCAATTGTTGCAACCACGCGGAACAACGAAGCTCACGACTGTGCCACCACACAGGTAGTATCATTGTCGCACCACAGAGGGACGGGTGATCGGTCGACAGGCTGCATGCGGGTCCCCCCTCGCGAGCCCCGCTGCGCCGCATCCGTGCCACGTACAAACATCGGGTTGCTACGCCGCTGCCGTGGACGATTGGAGGTTAAACTGCTACAGGAACAAGGCGCCGACCCGCCTACTTAACACTAACGAACCCTTACGCGCGTGACCCTTACCAGACAACCACCGGGGTGTGTCGGAGGACTCGAAGAAGAAACACCGTCGCACAGGGATAATGTCGGGAGGGTGCGGGGTTGTGTGCGGGGTGGTGGTGGTCGAAGAGCGGGACGCGCGGGGGTCTTCGTTGGGCCGCAGCCGCCGGACGGGAACGCTCGTGCACGCTACGCCACGGGGCACCGGCGGCGGCGGCAGTGTAGCGGTCGATTTGGTGGGAGACGCGGGTACCGAGACTTACATGTTTCAGAGGGGGAGATGCAAGCTGTTTCGGTCCTTCGTCCACCATGGGAAGCTCACCGTGTGCACGGCGGGCATGAGGCATCAGGTGCGCGTGTATCTGTGCCTGCCGAAAGAGAGGCACGCAGATGATGCCGTCTCGTTTCGATCGCGTCCACGACGGGTGTGTTCTTGTCTGTTACGTGTTGCTGCTGCTGCTGCCACTGCTTGAGTCTTGTTGCTAAAAAAATATTGCCATTGCTGCCTCGTTGGAGGTGATACTGGGGATGACCAGCCCTGTTGGTGACGCCGTTTCGTCGGCCTGCTTTTGACAAAGGATAATCCGGGGGGCATGGGCTTGCAACTTAGTGTACGCCCATGAAGAGGCGCTTCTCCAAAGGCAGCATAGATCGACTTGTTGTGCTGCGGTTTGCATTCAATGACTGCAGCATTCTCGGTCTATATTCGTAGAATACGTCTCACACAGCACCGGATATACACGCTTCCTCTTGCCGTAACCTCCTGCTAATGGTTTCAACTTCTCTTCCCGTCCGTCACCACTGCTGCTGTTGCCGCTGCTGCTGCTGCTGCTGCTGCCGCTGCCGTCCGTGCCGCTTTTGCTGTGTCTACACGCGTACGAACGTTGCCCCCGCCACGTATACAAAAAATAAATCGATCAGATCATGTTAAGCGAGGCGGACCCGGTCCTTCTCGGCGAGCTTTGCGACACCCTCGTGGGAGAAAACAGCAGCAGTCACACAAGCAACACCACGAACGACAGCCGAAGGAGCCTACGTTCCGCAACGGCAAGCACCACGGCTGCCCGCGCGCGAGCCCAGCCGCAGCCCCGATCCCACCGCGCACCCGCCGCTACCAGTGGATGCACCAGGAGGAGACCGCCGGCAGCGGTGGTTCCGGGGAGGCGAAGTACATCCGCTGGGCCCCTCGCCCCCCGCAGCGTCAACGCCAATGTGCGCAGTCCGACCGGGCAGGAAAGAGGTGGGGATAACGTCCACCAACGGGGGGATAAGAAGGGGCGGAGGATGGGGGTCCCGGCGGACAGGCTGCCGGAGGCGACGGAAGACGGGGGGGTCGCGCGGAAGAGCACGAGGAAGGTGAGCCCCAAGAGGAGCGCGGAGGGAAGGGGGCCGCCGAGAGAGGTCGCCCTGTCGGAGAACCAGCAGAGGGCCGTGGACCTCGTTGTCGGCGGCAGGAGCGTCTTTTTCACCGGTAAGTGAGACACGGCAAGCAGAGAGACAAAAGCCTTGCGGCGGGGGGGGGAAGGGTAGTCATGTAATGCACGCCTTCGCGGTTAGATCATGCCTTCGCGGTTAGACCATTGACCACGTGTCCTCGAGAGGACGGAGCATTGTTCCCACAGGACCGATCACCGATGGCCAATCGTTCCTTTCTACTTTGCCAAAGGTGGCTCAAAAATGTCTTCCCTAGTCTGTCCATCCTATCGGTATCCATTCCCGCCTTTTCAACCCACCTCCGATGCCTCAGTACAGCTACCGTCCTTTCCTCTCTATTCCATGCCTCAAACATCTCCCTGTACGTTCCATCTATTTTTCCCAGCTCAGTCACGTACACTTCCCTCTCCTTCTTGTACAACGGACATTCCGCGACTACATGAACACGGTCTTCGCATTCGAAGCCGCAATCACATTTGAACTCGTCGTCTTCCTCGTCTACCGTCCTATGTCTTCGTCGACGTTCTCGAAGGCTTGTGTCCTCGGTCCTGAATTTGACCTTAAGCTTTGTTCCTGCATCCATTGGTCCATGTAGGTAGTCCTTGAACCCTATTCCTTCCTTCAACATTCCGTACACTTCTAGACCCTCCTTATCCTTGGATTCTTTCCTCAGATTCTGTTCTTCTCTCTCGGCACAAGCAATAGATATCTTCTCCTTGAATCCCTGTAGACCCTCCGTTTCCAGCGTTTCATCTTCGTCGATGTCGAGCCCCTTCCATACGTCCTCTACAACCTTGACCCATTCCGTGGGTTGTCTACCCCTCTTTTTGTTTGCCCACTTCGCCTCCCATACAATCCTCGGCAACCTCTCCTCTCCTTTCCATCCCGCACATGCGATACCGCCATGCCTCCTCGCGTCTCTTCCCGACCGTAGGGATTGGATCCCCAATTCTGCCCTCACGGCTGCATTACTTGTGCGCGTGGAGCATCCTAGGATGATTTTCGCTGCTTTCATCTGCGCCGCCTCGAGTTCTTTCACTACCTTCTTATTTCGTTTCCTTATTAATCGTAATTACTCTAGCGACGGTACGATTACGCTCTTCAAAATCGCCAATTTGATGCGTGTATCGAGGTGCCGGTTTGCGAGTATTGGATGCAGCTTCCCTGCTCGTGATTTGCCCTTTTCCGCTACCTTGGACATGTGTGCATTCCACGAGCAGTCTTTTGCGATCTCTACTCCAAGGTATGTGTACTGGTCCACTACTGCAATCTCCTCGATCCCCCACTTCCATCTATGTTCTACTGGTTCCTCCTTGTTCTCGTTGCATATCATGACGGCACTCTTCTTTACGTTAGCAAACAATCTCCACTTATCAGTAAACTTCTTCGCCGCGTCAATTTGCAATTGCAGTCCCTCAGGGGTGTCCGACATACCGACAAAATCATCCGCAAACAGCATTCCTGAAACCGACGTTTCCGTGTCCCCTACTTTTACTCCCTTCCGGACTGCCTCTACGACTTCCAACAGATCGTTGATGAACACCTGGAAC